ACTGCTGGCGTGCTCCACGGCTTTGCTCCCTGTCTCCCTGCAGATCAGGGAGACGGGGAGCAGCTTTTCTCGCCCCGGAGGACGGGGGCGGCGGACCGCGGCGCATCTGGGCGTCCCGCCGCTCCCGTCCTCCGGGGTGAGAAAAGCCCCGTTCGTAACTGCGGATCCGACATAAGTCGGATCCGTGTAACTCGAGAACTGCCTGCAGTCACCAAGGATCTGCGCAGCTTTGTGAAATGCAGTTTCTTTTGTGATGCCCTGCACATTACACATGGGTTCTAGTGGTGCTAGATGAATGTGCAGTGGTTTGGAATGTATTTTTTCCTGTTTCCCATGTTAGATGTCTTTATGATGCATTAACATTACAGTTCTTTTGGTATTAAGGTCATTTTATTTTTCTGTGTTTCCTTTGTTTTTTCAGCTGTCAGAGGTGCAGTGCTTTAATGATTTTTTGCGGGACCTGAAAGAAAAGGTGGAAGATAAAACCTTGGCTGATTTCTGGGAGATTCTGATACAAGGTACGATGAGAATTGACTCTCCCTTCACACCTTCTGCACAGTTTTTCTTCAAATGGTAAATTGTATGAGAGGGATCTACACGTTAGCAGCTAGACACTGACAATGCACACATATCAGCGTTTTTAATGTACAGTAGACTTCTGATAATCTGGCACCTTTTGGACCAAGGTGGTGCCGGATTATCAGATTTGCCGGAGAAGCAGGAGGTCCGGTACAGCTGCACGGCTTAACAGCTGGCCAGGACACAATCTCCCTCTCTCTCCCCTCTCCTTTCCTCTTCCTGTCTCTCTCCTCCTGCTGTAACCTGATCCTCCTCCCCCTCCCTTCCCGTTTCCCCTTCACTGAAGCAAAATGCTCTTCTCCATACTGTAACACGATCCCACTCTTCCCTCCCCCCCCAACCTTGTGCTCCCTCTGGTTACAGCCAGCACCTGTGCTGAGTGGCAGGCTTTTTAATCAGCTGGTCAGGAGCGCTTGGCATTTTGATGCCGGAGTATCGGGATGCCGGACTATCGGACTATCAGAGTTTTACTGTAGATAGTTCTTGCATACCATGTAAAACTCATCTTTCACTACTATATAGCTTCATTTTTCAGTGGTTTCATATAAACAGTATTTCAAAATGCTATTCCAAGTTAAAATCAGTTACAATGATAAATTGATAGCACAGCGAGAGAAATTGAACAGTTTAAGGCAAGGAAAAGAAGAAAATAAGTGGAAAGCTGGTGCACTGGAGAGAGTGAGAGGAAGGCTCTCCCATATGATAGAAGCTGCAAAGAAGACTCCCGCACAAAGTAATCCATGACATAGTCCAGTGATGTGAGAGTGACCCGGAGGAAGGGAACCTGTGGTAACATGACGTACTGATGAGTAAACTGAGGAGGAAGGTTGCATAGAGAGACTAGGAACACTAGTTTTATTAGCATGAAAAACCGGACTCTCTAAATTTTTTCCCTTGCATGAATGCTTATGAAAATATACTTTAAATGCACAGTTGCCTCTTTTCTTTCTATGTACAGTAATATGTACATTGCTTTTGCATAGCACCTTTAATTCATTGCCTCCAAACTACAGATAGAGGCAATTTCACCCATAGCTTACGACACCACACAAAGAATATTATGTCCAGTTGAAACTTTGGGGGAAACAGCCTGGAGGGAGTTTAATAGCCACATCATAAACCTTTAAAAATGTTGGGTTCATAATGGAAATTTGGCCCAACCAAAGTCATGCTGATATGTTCTGTTGTAATAGTTTACAGATGATACTAATGAGAATTGTCAGCAACATGAACAGTTTTGAGGGGAAGAAGAATTTACAAATACAAGCTGCGCTATCTGAGATTTGCATATAGGGAATGGCTGTTTCACTTTGCTTAGAGGAAGTGTTTTATGCATGATCTGTCTTCTAAACATTGTTTTGTATGGCAGAAATGAACTTAGATTAGAAGTTGGAGAGTATGCTGTATATTATTTGAAATATAATTTTCATAGATTTCATATTTGAGCTATGATTTCAGTATCACATTAATTTGATTGTCATTATATATGTCCAGTTACTTAAATGGATGCCTCCAATAATGTATTAATATTAATTGTACTTGTGGGTCATGACAGTTAACTCATGAAAACTATGTCCTTTTAATATGAGAAGTATTTTTTTAATTTTTGTCAGTGATGACACATTTAGAAGTTTGAATTTGCAACACTTTCCATTTTTAACATAGAGTGTCTTTCAGGTAAAGCTTTATACTGATCTTTTTGTGATTTGATTTTCCTCAGATGGAATTTCTTTGATCACCAAAGATGAAGCAGAAGGTAGTTCAGTGACAAGTGAGGAAGCCAAAAAGGTATTACTTTTAAATTCTTACATATCTATATGAAGTCTTTGCTATTCCAAAAAAGAAATTTTCTTATATGGATGAACTGTTAAGTGAATTAAATAGGGCTTGGATGAATGGAATCCTAACATAAGAACGGCCGTACTGGGTCAGACCAAAGGTCCTTCTAGCCCAGTATCCTGTCTACCGACAGTGTCCAACACCAGGTGCCCCAGAGAGGGTGGACCGAAGACAATGATCAAGCGATTTGTCTCCTGCCATCTCTCTCCAGCCTCTGAAAAACAGAGGCCAAGGACACCATTTTATCCCCTTGCTAATAGCCTTCTATGGACCTAACTTCCATGAAATTATCTAGCTTCCCTTTAAACTCTATTATAGTCCTAGCCTTCACAGCCTCCTCTGGCAAGGAGTTCCACAGGTTGACTACACGCTGTGTGAAGAAGAACTTTCTTTTATTAGTTTTAAACCTGCTACCCATTAACTTCATTTGGTGTTCTCTAGTTCTTCTATTTAGGGAACTAATAAATAACTTTTCTTTATCAGCCCTCTCCACACCACTCAGGATTTTATAGACCTCTATCATATCCCCCCTCAGTCTCCTCTTTTCTAAACTGAAAAGTCCCAGTCGCTTTAACCTCTCCTCATATGGGACCCGCTCCAAACCCCTAATCATTTTAGTTGCCCTTTTCTGAACCCTTTCCAAGGCCAAAATATCTTTTTTGAGGTGAGGAGACCACATCTGTACACAGTATTCAAGATGTGGGCGTACCATAGTTTTATACAGGGGCAGTAAGATATTCTGTGTCTTATTTTCTATCCCTTTCCTAATAATTCCTAGCATACTATTTGCCTTTTTGACCGCTGCTGCACACTGCGTGGAAGTTTTCAGAGAACTGTCCACGATAACTCCAAGATCTCTTTCCTGATTTGTCATAGCCAAATTAGCCCCCATCATACTGTACGTATAGTTGGAGTTATTTTTCCCGATGTGCATTACTTTACACTTATCCACATTAAATTTCATTTGCCATTTTGTTGCCCAATCACTCAGTTTGGTGAGAACTTATAAAAAGTGGACTTTTGTTGACAAAACCGTGTACTCTAGACACAGCCTTAGGCCCATGTTTAAAAAAGGGAAGAAGGACAATCTAGGGAAGTACAGACCAGTCAGCCTTACCTCAGTCTCCAGAAAAATCATGTAGGGGATCCTCAAGGAATCCATTTTGAAGCACTTGAAAGAGGGGCAAGTGATCAGGAATAGTCAACATGAATTCACGAAGGGCTTGATGTCAGATTGGCAGTTGTTTTCTAGCGGAGTGCCCCGAGGATCGGTTCTTAGGGTATGTCTAGACTACAGGGTTTTGTCGACAAAAGTGGCCTTTTGTTGATAAAACTATATCTGTGTCTACACTACTGCCGAGTTCTGTCAACATAACGTCGACAGAACTTGGCAGTTTTGTCGACGGTGGTAAACCTCATTCTACGAGGAATAACGCCTTTTGTCGACAGAGTTCTGTTCAGTGTAGATGGATCTACACTGTTCTTTGCGTCTACACTCTCATGTCGACAAAGTGGCTTGCTTTGTCGACAGAACTGGACGTAGTCTAGACACACTTTGTTGACAGAAGCTTTGTTGACAGTATCTGTCGACAAAGCCTCTGTTGACAAAAGCCTGTAGTCTAGATGTACCCTTAGGG